GCTCTAGGTGGCAGAACGGGGGCTCCGAACGCGGCCCCGGTAGCTGCCGCGGCCCCGAGCGAATAAAGTCGCGGTGCGGGCCGCTCCCGGCAGCGCCGTGCGAGCCGCTGCCGTGTGCCGGCAGCCACCGAGCGCCCTTGAGGAACAAAGGCAGGAGGTGCCCGTGGCCGGCGCGGGTGGGCTCTGTGCCACGATGGCCCTGGTGTCTCCGAAGGGAGCCGGTACCAACAGGGCTGTGCCTCAGGCGGCTTTGGGCACTTGTGTGGTGCTAACGAGATGGATAAATAAAATAAAAGTATAAGGGCGGGAGTGAAACAAGCTGGTAATAAAACCGGAACCGAAGGATCTGCAAGCATAACGCGAGGAGCGAAGTGTGCAGGCACCAAGCTCTAAACTCTTGTTCCAGAGTTTCTTTCAGTTAGGCATTGTGTTGTGGCATATCTAAACTCGGATTATACCAGCCTTAGTCTTATTTATCTGCTGGATTGCAGGTTTTTCTAGTGTAGTTCCTGTCCTTCTATTGCTTTTTCACTTTGTCAATGGAGGAGCATAGTAAATCAGAAATTGCTCTCTATCCCTTTATTGACCCGATTGCCGAGACACAAATTTTACCCCATCTTGAAGCTTTCTTCTGCTTTAGAAGCTTTTTCAGCCTTATGTGCTGTTCCTGTTAGGTTCTTGCCAGTGTCTGCAGGGCTCATGTATCCTGGGTTACTATGGAGAGCTATGCAACCATCTCAGAATTAGGAAGAAAGTGCTGAGTCTTGCACCTCAGAAAGATCAGTTGAGAGATTCTAGTCCCTGCTTATATTTTGTCTGGAAACTTTATACCTCTTTTTAAAGTGATAATTCTATTAGACCTGAAAATGCTAGCAAAAAGACCTCCTCGTAATACAGTCCTTCTGAATCCGTCGCTTATATATATTTTCAGTGTGTTAAAACTAATTTGTAGGCCTGTCCAAGTGTTCCTTCTTACTAATTTAATTAATGGTTAGCAAGTCTTCAGGACTGTGGTTATGCATCCCACTTCGGTAGGAAGGACTTTGTACTTCCAGTTACTTCCATATAAAGCTGTGACAAAACTTGCCTGAAACCTAAGACAGCTTCATTGGACTAGAAGAAACCCATGTGAATCTTCTCAGTTGCTTTATTTAGCATGCTGTTGTTTAAATGCTCTTGTAACTCTTTTAGGCATCTTAAAACTACTTAGGGTTGTGCATTGCTGCTACTCTTGCTGAAGAATTACTTCACAAATTGATGACTCGAAGGTCAGAGTAAGTTTTGAGAAGCATTTTTCTAAAAAGAAATGCTATTTGTCCCTAGTTTTAACTACTGACCATAAGGGGATTTTTAAATTTTTTAGAGTTTATAATTTTATAGTTTCTCCTCATCTATCAGTTTTTTAAATTTAATAACCAACATGTTTGTACTTTTTGTCCTCCAGGTTTATTGTAGTTTTGTGTGATCAGTTTCACTTTCCACAAGTGAGTCAGTCGTGCCCAGATCTGTAACTATAATCTCGGTTTCAGTAGCTTTTAAGGTTAACGTTTTAATGAAATTAGTTTTGTTTGAGGAGTGAGCTGTTATTTTAAGACTTTCTGAGAGATCAACCTGTTATTGTTATCACTGCCCCTGCAAATAAAAGCAATGAGAGATACCAGGTACCAGAAAAATCCTTAAACTTTTCTTTAGCCATTTAGTAGCAAATCAGCTATACAAGTGATAATATCCAAAAAAGAAAAAAGATATTCTTTTGTGGAAGACCACAATATTAGGAATGCAAAACACAGGAAAAGCAAAAGTGGAAAGACTAGCAAGAGGTGGTCTGAAACGCATACAGTGTTGAACAGATGATTAATGTCAAGTTGCCTCTTGGGACTCAAATTTGGCAGTAGTTGAGGAATATGGTTCTTGTTCATATAATAAAACTTTTTTGTATTACAAACCTTTTACTAATAGGAGGGAAAGCTTTCATTCAGCTGGGTTACAGGTCACACATGTGATTTATAAAGGAGGCTCTCTAAATCTATTTTATTTCTTGGTTGTTTCTGTTTGCTACACTATTTTTCCTCCTGTTGCCATATTAGTATACTCGTAGGAATTTTGTTCCTTGCGTGCAGAACTTTGGAGCCTGGACCTTATCTAGTGGCTGTTGGTTTGTTAGAGAACAAGATGTGCTACTGTGACCAATTCTATCAGTGTAATAATGCCTGTACATAATGAATAAACTGGCAGTGGAGGCAAAATGGGCTGCAGTCCAGTAGCCATCACACTGATGGAAGAAACTTCATTGAGGAGATTCTGAATAGATTTGCAGCTGCATCCCAGGTGTTGGAATGAATATGCAAAGCAATTTGCAACTTGGTACCTCAACAAATACTGTTTTCCTTCAATCTCCATAGATGACGTGCTATGAATACAGTGTACCTGTCTATAAGAAGGAAACAGTACGAAAAAACAACATGTGGTCTTCTCACTGTTGTGAGTTCATCCTGCACCACAGCTTTTGCAGGTTGTAACTGTGGACTCCTTAGAGAGGATGTTAATGGCTGCTGTTAGTACTTGGGAACTGAGGGGCACAGGTGATGCACCAAGCAGTGCTGCTGGCATTAACCTGTCATGTATCACTGCAGTTGTGTAACAGAGGTTCTATGAGAGCTGCATCTGCTCCCTGCAGGACAAAACCTTGTTGGTGTGGTAAGGATTCATTATGCTGAATGTCTGCTTTGGCTCTGAGTGAGCACCACAGTGCCAGCTATATAGCAGCTGTATTGCTTCACTTCAGTTGCTACTGTGTCTTACTGCCAGTGATTCTAAGGATTATTATTTTTTTTAATTTAATTTATAGAATCTTAAGGTAACTTCTTCCATTTCTTTGTAAGATGCTTGTACAGTGTTTGTCTTCTTTCTTTTAAGTGCCAGGATCTCTTTTTAAGATATTTTATAGGCCAAGAAGGAGCTAAGTTAGGTGGAGCATTTTATTAGAGAAATTTGTGATCAACTTGGTCTATCAGCTTAAGTACAAATAGCCAGCCTTTTGTGCTGAACCCTTCCTATCTGGGGTTCTTTCACATTGGATAACATGCTCCAGTTCCCAAACTGAAGGTAGTCAAGTGTCTCATTGCCTGGGAGAGGCCTCCTATATGTTCATTTGCATGATGAGATTGTTCCAAAGGAGCAGGGTTCAAATTTGCCTTCAGAACTTGGTAACAAAACTGTTACTGATTTATTGGGAATTATTTCAACTTATACTGTGAATAAAAGGATCACAAGTTACTGCTTTGTTGTGAACTGTCATTGTAGTCTCTTGCATTTGTGTATTTAAAGTGCAATGCAGATCTCATCCCCAGTTGTGGGAGATGTTGGAAAGAAGGCAGCACAATATTTGCTTTCAGTCTGTGAATAGCAGTTTGTAAATAAACTTGGATCTGGTTCTGTCTAAAAAGAAAAGAAAAAAGGGTAAAGAATCCAAATACCTTGATATATCAAATATGTGGAAAAATTCTGACCTCTTTTGACTGTGATATTATTCTGCACTGTTCTTGTACTTGAAATCTGAATCTTGCTGCAGGTTGAATTAGTTTTCAGTTGCCTGATTAGTTTTATGATGGGAATATTAGTTATATTTTGCTGGCACTTCATATTCTCCTTTCTTAATTTATCATAGTGTGGGATTCCCCTAATTTAGGATTTAAATAGATGGCTTAGATTAAATATCTGCAGAAGTGTCTGTATAATAAAAATACTCATGGTTTCTTGTGTTAACTACACTGGGTTCTTTCACCTTCAGACTGGACAGTAATTATGTACATTAGGTAGCAAGCTGTTTTCCAGTTTAATACTGGTTCTCTTTGAAAAAGAAGGGGAAAAGGATCATACAGAGTTTGCAGGATATACAGAGTTTGAAAGGCTTTACATGTTGCAGACCTCTAGCATTACTTAAAGCCCCAAACACTCCATTCAGCTAGGTAGTCCACAAACAGAGGAAAAGTCCTCCTAATCTGCAGAATAGGTGGAAAGTACATACAGGAAATGCCAGAGGGCAGGTGGAAATGCTCCCAGGCTTGTGTTTGCCTTTAACAGAGTGCTGTGTGATCCAGGGCATCCATCAGCTATGCCAGAGCTTGGAGTGCAGGGACAACCAAAGGAGTTAACAGGTGAAATGAAGGAGATGAACCTTCCCTTACCTGTGTTTAGAATCTACCACAAGCTGGATCTGTTTGGTTTAGGCAGCCAGTGAAATAAAGAAAACCCCAAACAAAAATTTGTACAAATGGAGTGATAAATTAAATATCTCTACTGTTAGTTACCATGTCTGTCAAAATGTAGGGCTACATTAGCAATTAGGTAATGGATGTTGGACTCTGCTCTGGAGCTGTGTTCCTCTAGTTGTCAAATCCGTGATTTCATTTCCAGATGCATTGAGAGCCTGACTTCATTGTAAGCAAAATTTGTCTCAGAAATGCTTGATGCCTGTCTTTGTTGTGGGGCTTTGTTTGTCTTTTTAAAATTAATTTTAAATCTTGAGATGAGTATCTCATTGCTAGGACATTTTTAAAGGTTATTAAAAAAATATAAATAGAGCTTCATAAACTAGATTTGTATCCTGTAAAGTAGTTTTGGGGTTTTATGTGATATTTTCCTTACTTTGTTTCATATAGTTATTAATATTGTCAATAAAACTATTTTGTGTAGCTACCTGGGACTCTTTGGGACT